CGACCAGAAGACAGTGAAGTTCTGCACAAAGTCAAATTCTGGAAGAATTAATTAAATGCGAGCTACAGTGATGTTATTTTATGGTGACAGCTGAGGTTTGACTGTGCAGATGTGGTCGAGACGCCAGGCTGTGGAGGTGCGTTCACGCCCATTACCGTTCACATGCTCGTGGAGTCGCCACATCAGGTGTAAACGTCTCCGTGTCCTGAAAACGTGGGGGTAACTTCGGTGAGTGGTCAGCTTCACTCTCCAGCCGATTTACCCTCAATACCGACAATAACTTGGCAGCAGGCTGGGATATCAGACGCTGTGTCCCTGCCAGGAACATGTTCCCGATGCACTCTCTTGTTCTAAACGCACCATGTAACTTCCCGTCTGCTTATTTCCCGTTCTCAACAGACAAGCACAAATCAGAGATGAAAACCTCTGCTTTGCATGCAGGAGTTCCTGGGTTCGAATATCAGCCCTTCCATGACAACTCAGTTTTCAAACAGGCCAACTTTCAGGCTTGTAGTCGGTGGGATTACTGAGCAACATTCGGCAAACACCTCCGAAACGTCGGTAAGCACTTCTACCATACTACACGGCGCAACGGTAGTTTGGATACTTGTACGATGCAAAGAGCCGCCGCTGATAGTGGCTCACCTCTCAACACCGCAGATCAGCGACCTCATAATTCTTTTTAAAAGCGCAAACGAATGTCAGACAAGAATAATTTCCGTCTGACTCGCGAAGTGAGCCAACGTTTCTTGGCCAATGCCTCCAGGTGCGTAAAATGAACGCGTAATTCAGACGTTCCCCGTCCACACGAGACACATCTCTGAGTTACAGCGTGTTCATGAACTCCAAACTTTTTTTTTTAAATGTCCGAGGTGGGTGCGACCGACCTCATTATTCACGACGGTAATGACGCGATACCATAAACCTGTCCTTTATTTAACTAAGACAAAAAGACGTCGAAATCTAAACCTGCCGGATCGCGTTAATCCCCTGCTTCAAAGTCGAGAGCGAGAGAGAGAGAGAGAGAGAGAGAGAGAGAGAGAGAGAGAGAGATATGTGTCCACGGAAACCGATGACTGTTTAATTTCT